ACTCTCGGACCCAGGAGCCCTGCTGCTCCCGGAGAACTGGCTGCCTGGGCGCAAGGCGCGGGGGGCTGGGGGAGCCTGCTCGGCCGGCTCCGAGGGTCTGCTCCGGCAATTTTTTGATACCTGGAATTTTGCTGATCAAATTTTGAACTTTTATCACTATTAAAGTATAAATTGTATGTATTTTAATAAAAACAATAAAATTTTATTACAGTGTATTGTTTCTTGAGTCTTCATGAATGTCTGTGTTATGACATGAATGATTCTAGTCTCTTCTACTTGGCTTTGGCAGAGGAAGTAGAAATGAGTTTAGGTGTTTCAGTTGACTAGCTGTTTTGACTGTTTGAACAGAGCTAGTACAGAGCGAAAATTAAGAGCCAAAAGATAGAGACTTTTCTTTGGCCTGTATTCTATGTCATGTACCTAGATTCTTTCTGCCTTTCATAAAATTAATTAAAGAAAACACCATAGCTTGTATTTTAGGAAAATTCAATCCATACTTAAAACTTCTTCTTTGTACTGTCCTGAGAGAAGTTTACATTTTCATGCCATAACAGTAGTGCAAGCACACCACATCATCAAAGAGTAAATTTCTCAGGATATGTAACAAAGCAAGTGGGCATATGGAAATGATTTCTGGGGTGGAGAAACTTGGGAAATAATTTTTATTTAACAGAAAAGCTACAAATGACTGTGAAACAGAGAAGTCCAATTTTTGCCCGTATTTTGTTTGCTTTCACAGTTTTTGCTATAACCCTGTGTGTGAGAGTGGAAATAACTCACATCTTTGGGGAAAGAAACACCAAGGTTTCACTTACTGGGAAAAGGATGCTTGTGTGCACTTAAGACATATCTTGCCCTTAAATGTATATTTACAGAGTATATTCTGAACACTGTCTCTAAAACCTCAATCTTGACTTCTTCTGTCAAGTTAAGGAAACTATCCAAGTGTGAACAGTCTCTCAAGAGAGTCTCCTTTTGTCCAAGAAAGCTTTTACATTCATCACCTTCTTTCATTATTTATATCCCTGGGCTTAGGACTGGTGTAGGTGCTGGTGCTAGAAAGCATACAGATTTTTATTACATTGAACATAAATTTACTTTTAGAAATGAGTTGGACTACTCTCTTTCTCTCTAGTCTGATTTCTTTTCATTAGACAGTTTCTTTCCAAATGAGCCAATGACAAGCCTGGGTGGGAGTGGTCAGGCTGAAGGGACAGGGCCATAGCCAAAATATAACCCATATTCATGGTACATAACGTGACTATACCAAGAATGGGCCCAAACAAACACTATGAGGATGAAAAGAATGCTGTTAAAATAGTGCATGAACAACATGTACAAACTGGGACATATTATTACAATAAAAAGATTCATAGCATTTTTGGGACAATGTTAGATGACTAAGGCTTCATTTCATTGGCTGTTGGTGGTGAGCTAAGTGAATAAGCATCTTTATTATAAATGCACAGGGTGGGCTGGGAATATAGCTCAGTGGCCCAAGCACCTGCCTGGTAAGTGCAAGGTCCTGAATTTGATTCCCGGTTTAATAAAAAAAAAAAAAAAAAAAATGCACAGGGTTAGGTAGACATGTCCCTATTTGGACACGGTTAAGAGTAGGTGGGGGCTCCTGGAACTTTCTTTCCCTAAGAGGACATCTCTTAGTTCTCATTAGCATATTAAAAGACCTGGGTAAAAGGATTGGAATTTAAAGTATGCTTTGATCCATTTCAATCTTTTGTACTCTTATAATTAATTTTCCTTCTCGCTCACCTCATAATTTGTGCAGGCACATTTAAACATTTCTTACTAGTGTTACTAGGAGTTAGGTGCACAGTTTATAGAGGATGAATCATTTCTAATAGCGTTGCTTCTGTTTTCAAGACAAGTTTGGGCTTGGCTAGATTTAGTGGTGCTTTGAAGATTTGGTTTAGCAGATTGTTTCCAAATGAAAATGTGGGAATTAGAGCAAAGGAAAGGATCGCAGAGCTCACACTTGCCTATTTTATCTTCGTATTTTTCTCTTATTTAAATTTTAAAGTACTTTTTTTTGTCCCTCAGCACTCTATTTTTCTAAAATTTTTGTTTTTGTTTGCAATTTATATATCAATTATTCATGTACATATGAATATCTTTTATAATTATATCATTTCCTGTTGGCACTTTATGAAAACATTGTCTTTGTGCTATTACTGAGGTAATTGAGGGTTCATCTGCAATTATTACATGCAGAGATTTCATGAACCTTTGGCCCTGTTCCTCCGATGCTAACATCTTATAAAATTATAGCGCATAATTACATCAAGGATACATTGGTACTACAATACACCAAACATATTCAGTTTTCAGTGGTATTTCATGTGCTCATTCATTAGTGTGTGTATGGTTAGCTGTGTCCCCTTTCTTACATTTGAAGGTTCATTTGTCCACCAGCACAGTCCACATTGAACAGTTCTGGTGCCCGTATGTGAACACACCCAGCTCCCACCGTCCCTTTTGTCTTTAACACCATACAGTCACTGGTATGTTCTCCATTTCTAAGGTTTTGTCATTTAAAAATAAATAATGATGTAGTATGAAACTTCTTCACTTGACTTTCCCTGTATGTTGTAAACAAAGAATATTTTCTGTAACTGTTTCCAGCACCAAGAATGTGATAAAAGATGGTTGATTTTACTATTAGAGTAATACTTATACTTTAGCATATATGAAAATGAGTAATTTTATTATTTGTATTGATGGAGGCAGCTGAGCCTAATTAAGCACTTAAAAATACGACAGACTATGAACAAGAAATATGTGATACTGGGTCACAAAAATACTGATTGTATTTTCTTGAGACAGGGTCTCCCTATGTAAATCAGGCTGGCCATGGACTCACTATGTAGCTCCAGCTGGCCTGGAACTCACAATGATGCTCCTGCCTCAGCCTCCCAAGTGCTGGGATTACAGGTTTGCACCCCCACATCTGGCAATTGCATTCGTTTTTAACATGGATAATCATATGGACATTGATTAATGATTGGAGTGTAGATAGATATTTCACAGTAATCATATGGACATTGGTTATTGATTGGAGTGCAGATAGATATTCTCAAGGGTGTCACGAAGTGAAGGAGAAAAGCTGGTTGTAGAGTCAGGATAATTGTTTATTTACATTGTCCTGAGCCTGCCTTAAGACCTTGAAAGACCATTACTGAAGTGAGCATATTATGCATTAACACTGTTAATCTGGTGATTTTAGTGAAATAATTTTGGATCTAGAGGAACTGATACAGCTCATAAAAACTCTATATTATGTTCAATGTGACATACTTCAAACAAGCTTATTTAGTTGTAGGCCCAAGTTATAGGATTTCAATTATGGGACTTCTCAGCTTATTTTCCCCTGAGAAGGGAAACAAATAAAATCAGTATGCTTGACAAAGTAGGCTTTGCTGATGTAGTGAAGATAGATAAGGTCTTCTCTGTCTTTGTCTTCCCAGTGTGTGGTCAGTCCTGCTCAGTACACCTGTGGAGTGCTTTACGACTTTGGGAACTGGCTCGTGTAAGTGTACTTACATAGTACCTTTTAAAATCAGTCTTTTCTTCATTTGTTAGTAAGAGGGTGTAGTGTTTGAGGAGCAACATCATCGGGACATTACTGGCGAGAGCTTTTGTTTCAGCCTGTGTAGAGTCCAGCTCCTCTGCTGGAGGTCACAGCGAGGGCTCCAGCACTGTCCAGGATGCAGAGGAAAGGCGGACGCCCGAGGCTGGTGTATCATGAGGGGACCTGTAGGGTCTTTATTTTATTCACTTTTTCTTCCATTGTTCTTTCTATTCTCATTGCTTTGTGGGATGCCAGGGTCTGCTAACAAACATCTGAAATGATTTTAAAGTTACGTTATAGAAGCATTGCTCAGGGTGCTGCAGTGAATGGTGAGAATAGGCTGAAATTGAAAACTGGCTCCACCGAAAGTGGGTTTTGTGGCAGAGGTCTTTTACATAGTGTTTTTATCACCTGTCTGTATCATTTGCTGTCCTCTTCTGTTGTCACGTGTTTTCTTTCATTTCTCTAAGCACATTATTACATATTATAAAGAAATAATATCATGATCAGGGGATGAAACACATACTATCTTTATTTCACATTATTTCCCTATGTTCTATGCAAGGGATTTTTGTCTTTTTTTACAGTTGTATGTTCTTCTTGGCGTGTATTAGACACCTCAGACAGAT